ACCTGAGAAGCTGGCTGGAGACATCCCCTAGGGGGCGACAGGGGGAATTCAACAACCAGTGACCACAAGCTCCACAGCAGACAGTCCCATAGTGGGTTCTTGAGTGGGGAAAGCATGTCCTGGGAGACTCGGGAAGAAAGCCCTAACTCTCTACCTGCCATTCGAGGCTCCCAATCCCCCTTTTAAATACCTCTTTCACCCATCCCTACACAAACTCTCTGACCTTCCCCTAGAACCTTCCCAGCTGTCATGCCCCTCTGCACTCTTGTCTACACCACTCCTCTCACCTTCTCTGATTAACTGAATGCTCCCACCCCTCCATGCCTCTGAAGTCCCCATTGCTGTCCCCCTGCCCCGGAACTTGTGCCTCACTCTGAACTCACTGGAGCTAGGTGCATACCCACTCACTGGTATAGTGGACACTGCAGTGTGCCCCCCAGAGTCACTCTTCAGGACTGAGTCACTTGTTCCTCTCCAGCTGCCAGAATATCAGTGGCTCCCAGCTAGTCCCTCTGTACAAACTGTCCTCAGTCAAAGACGGCCAACTCACCTGGGGCATCAGGCCCCCTTCCCCGGGACAGTGGACATCCAGTGATTGATGGGGGTATAAAGGCTCTCCCTCCCTTCCCCCTGTACCACTCTGAGGGCCATCCCAGTTCCAGAGCTTCCCAGCAGATCAGCGAGGCTGTGGTTACAACTGCACCTCAGTTCAACTTCTCCTCTGCCCAGTCCTCTTCGCTTACCCCTCATAAGGGTTATTCTCAAGTGCTCATGAATCTCCATCTCAGAGAATGCTTTCCAGGGCAGCCAGTTTATGACACCCAGTAACATAATGGTTAAGCAGCCAGCCTGGGTTCAAATAGAGGTCAACTATTTTTAGCTCTGTGATCTTTGCAGAATTACCTAACTTCTCCATACAATTGTTTTATCTGTGAAGTCAGAATAACGCTGAGACAATGGTTTCTATCTCCTAAGTGTTGTGAGAATTAAATGAGGTGAGGTGACATCTGCATGGTGCATGACATTGAGAAAGCACTCAACAAGCATTAGCTGTTACTATGAAGTCAGAATAACGCTGAGACATTGGTTTCTATCTCCTAAGTGTTGTGAGAATTAAATGAGGTGACATCTGCATGGTGCATGACATTGAGAAAGCACTCAACAAGCATTAGCTGTTACTATTATTTACATTTAACTTCTCTGAGGTTCAGGCAAATGGGGATAGGTTATTATTATTTATGTCGTGGAGCTGTTGGTGAGAATCAAATAAGATTGGGAGGCAAAGGTTTAAAGTCTGTGCTGCAGTGACCTAATACAGGCTTTGCCTGCCCTAGAGTTGTGGTCTGGAGGCCAGACCCTTCCCCCAACTGGTAAGGATTACTATGGTAGCTTTCTATTGCTGCTGTAACAAATTACCACAAATTTAGTGGCTTAAAACAACACAAATTTATTATCTTACAATTGTAAGTCAGAAGTCTGGTATAAGTTTCATTAGAATGAAATCAAGGTTTCAGCAGGTGTTCCTTTCTGGAGGCTTTAGGGGAGAATCTGTTTCCTGCTTATTTGGGTTGTTGGCAGAATTCAGTTCCTGTGGTTGTAGGACTGAGGTCTCCATTTTCTTGCTGGTTGACCCCAGCTTCTAGAGGCTGCTGTGTTCCTTGGTTCATAGCCCTCTTCCTCCATCTTCAGAGTCAATGCAGGCAGGTGGAGGACCTCTCATGGTGTTGTGTCTCTGACCTATCTTCTACTTTTGGATAATCACAGACATTCTCCCCATCTCAACGTCCTTTATCACATTGGCAGTCTCTTTTGCCATGTAAGGTAACGTATTCCCAGGTTCTGGGGATCAGGACATGGACATCTTTGTGTGGGGACCATTACCTTGCCTATCACAGCCACCCAGTGCGGGGCAACCTCTGATCCAAAATTCACACCCTCTCTTTCCAGGGAGAGGTCTGTGCAGTTCCCTGTGCAGCAGGGACCTATGGCCCCAACTGCTCGTCTGTCTGTGGCTGTAACAACGGTGGCATCTGCTCCCCAGTAGATGGCTCCTGCACCTGCAAGGAAGGTAATGTGCCCTCTCTCCCAAACCCACCCCCTCGCTTATGTGCACACTGCCAGGTGGACTGCCAGGTGGGGTTGCTCCTGCCCCACCCACCCACATGCAGGTTCAGGGAGCCTATATTAATCAGGTTCCAGTCAAGAAAACCCAAGGCAGGAACTTCAATAGCAGGAATGTAATAAGGGGACAGTAACAACGGTGTTGGAAGAGCTTAAGAGCACACAGGGGAGGCGAGCAACCCAGACATTAACACCTGTGGGTAGGAGAAGCTACTGCTACTCCTAGGGTCAGAGGGACAAAAGGAGAAGGTAGAATTCCCAGAGCCTGGGATTGAGGACTACCGGGTGGGAGCTGGGACATGGACAGGGGCTGCAGTAGTGCTAGAGAACGGAGATGCAGCCACCACCAGAGGCCCAACACCTAACTTCTCTCCTGCTCCCACGCTCTAGTCTGTGGGCAAGGTCTCCCATGGGCAAGCCCAAATTGGAAGCCAGCTGAGGGAGAGCCAGGGATATGCAGCCTGCAGGGCTCAGCCCCCTGTGACACAGAACAGAGCAGGGGAAGAGGAGAAATAGATCTGAGGGCAAAGAGTCCACACCCAGCCACACAATGGAGAATCAGCCTGTCCTGAAAACAAGGGGCCCTGGGATAAGCTGCCTGACTCCACCCTGGGCAGAGAAAGTGTTCCCCACTTGAGCTGTTCCCTGTCCCAGGTGAGATCATACACTTACAGCAAAAGCAGTGAGAACCTGGAGGCAAAAGACTTGGGTTCTAGCCCCAGCTCCCCTAACAGCCCTGCTGTACTTCTGAGCTAACTCAAAATAAGTGGAATGAGTGTTCTAATCCAGCCAGCAGGGAAGCCGTAGTGTGGGTGGGATGCTGTGTGCAGAGTAGGGGGGTATCGGCAGAAAGCTCACTGAGCCTGGATGGAGAAGTGACAGCCCCTTTCCCTCCCCTCAGGGTGGCAGGGCCTGGACTGCACCCTGCCATGTCCCAGTGGGACGTGGGGCCTGAACTGCAACGAGAGCTGCACCTGTGCCAATGGGGCGGCCTGCAGCCCCGTGGACGGCTCCTGCTCCTGCACCCCTGGCTGGATGGGAGACACCTGTGAATTGCCCTGCCCGGTGAGTGCCTAGCGTGGAGGGAGCAGGCAAGAGCAGAAGCAGGAGGGACAGAGTAGGCCCAGCATGCCCTCATGCCCTTCCCCTGGGGTTATTTTGTCCACAGGGGTGCACAGAGAAGAGCACTGTACTAGGTGGTGGGACACTTGGATTCAAGTCTCAGCCTTAGTCCTAATCTCTCTGTGGCCACTTTCCTTCTCTGGGTCTCAGCCTTCTCATCTATAAAATGGCAAATACTTGGCAGATGTGGCCAGATACTTTCCCCTTGCTGCTCTTGGTAAACGTTATTAATTAACTGTGGCATTCTTACCTGAGTTCAAATGCAGCTTCAGAATCCTTCCCAACAGTGCTACAGGACAGCCCCTGATAATCCATCAGGGTTGCCATTCTTTGATAGGTGAAGTCTAAACTTCCTTCTGGTTCCAACAGTCTATAATTTTGTGATCAGAGTATGGGGCCACTGAGGCAAGCACTATCCAGCAATAACCACGGAGATTTAATCACTGGATCTCAGCCTAAGATACAAAAATAAGTTAAACCAACTGATGTGATATTGTTGAATGAGCACGCACTTTGGAGTCCTATGGTCCTTAGTTCAAATCCTGACTTTGCCACATTCTGTTACCTCAAGCATGTTACTCCACTTCTCTAATCCTATTTCTCATCTTTAGAGAGGGAATATAATGGAACCATCTCACAGAATTGTTATGAGGATTAAGAGAAATGAGGTATATAAAGCTCTTGATACCTAATGAGCACATAACAAATGTTG